TTAATTGAGGGTTTGTATAATGTGTAAAAAAATTTTAATCATTATGTCTCCTTAAGTCTCGATAAACTACATAGATCGAGCTGACCTCACATATCCGAACTCATATTAGTATGAGCTTAATGCATATAACCAACTGTATTTATTGCCCTCGGAGGTCGGACGCCAACATAATCAATATTTTTTTATAATATTTATCTATGTTTATTCTTTCATGTGATCTATTTGTACACAATTATGTAAACAATGATGTATAAATAACATTACTCTTATGTTTGGAGAAATATACAATTAAAAGAGTAATGATATTTGTACATTATTTTTTACATAATAATGCACAAATAGATGACATGGAAGAGAGAAGGATTATAATAATTGGGTTTCTTTTTTTCGTCTTCTTTTTTCTTTTCTATATCATCTATCTGTACATCATTATACATACAATGATGTACAAAAAGCATTACTCCAAAAATAATGCATTTTCATGTAGGTTGTAATAGGTCATTCCGATTGTGTTACATGTATATAATGATTTACATACACATGATGTGGTGTGATATGATTGTGTTAGAATTTTTCAACCAAATAAAAAAATTCTCCTCTATCTTTCTAATACATCATCTATATATAAATTATCATGAAACTACATTATGTACAAGTAGCATTATTCTATATCACTCTTGGACTCAATATTTTAAACTCGGTAAGCCCAAAATGACTTTTGAAGGAGACAGCTAAAAACATGTCCATAACTTTACAATAAGCCCAAAATAAATATTCATTGGGCAACTTACAAAAATGTTCAAAAAATCTAGGGTCTTTTGAAAATTTTTGTGAAAAGTATTTTGGACGTAAAAAAATACTGTCTAAAATTAATTTTCGCTTTGACATTATGTGTCTTTTTTAAAAAAGTGACACAGTATCACTTTTTAAAGTTAAATGTTACTTGTTTATTATAAGATGATATACAATGTCACTTTTATTAAAAAAAAAAATTATGTTTGTCACTCAAAAAAGTGATAAAAATTTCAAGAAATTGACAAACACTAAAAAAAATTGACAAATACTAAAAAAAAAGACATACAGTAAGAAAAGTAATAAAAATTTTAAAAATGACAAAACACCAATCAAAACATTGGAATCAGTGACAAAAATAATATATATACTAAAAAAAGTAACATAACCACCCAATATCAGTAAATTTAGGTAAGGCTAGCCAATCATATAGTTCGGAAATTAGATTTGGTCCAAAATCGAATGGAACCATCCCTAAACTGTCCAGGGTTGGAACCACTTCACTATCCATGTCAAACACACAATTATTGTCAAAATAAGGTGCCTCAACTCTTGGCATGTGGAAGGAGGACACTCCATCAAGCTGAACATCTAAGTTATCAAGTGGCTTCGCCATTGGTTCCAATATCGTACCAGTAGTTATCTGGTGCACATTAGTAGCATCTACAACAATTTTCCCAGTCTCGATTTAGGGAGCTTGGTTGAATCAGAAACGGGTGTTTGTATTTCCCTAAATATCGTGATTTTATTTGAGCAAAAGATCTGGTATCACCTGTGGGAAAAGCCATTGATCCCCACCTTACAGAACTTTCATCACTTGGGAGTTTTGGCCAAAATTATGGCTTCTAATTTGAGGCGTTCTAAGGTTTTTGCGTATTTATTGCGTATTATTTACGGTGAAAGGGTTTTAGTTAATTTTAGGGGTAGTTTTCTAACTAGTTTTTTTAGAGGGTAGTGGGCATAATTACCTCATATTCCTAACCCAGCATTTCATGCAAAATTCATCATTTTCCCAAAATTTCTCAATTTTGCACTTTAGGCATCGGTTGATCTTCGTTTAACTTTTAGTTAAGCCTAAAAACTTACTTTTCAATTTTCTAACAAATAATAACACTATTAACATAATAATCGTTAGTGTCATCGTTGTCTTCATCATCAGTGTCGTCGTCGTCGTCATCATCAACATCGATGTCATCTTTATTATTCATCCTAATCTAATCATTTTCCCGACCAAGTGCATATTTTCCTATATTTGCACTTAAGTTCCTCAAAAAGTGAAAAGTTTCTAATTAAGTCATCAAATCTCATAACTTCTCAATGAGGTCCTAATTGAATATGTGCAAACATTTCGCCACGTTATACATTCTCTTTCTTCAAATGGCAGTAGCAATGGGCACCAAAATTTTATGGTCTCCTCAATGATGAACATGTTGACCAACAGTTTGAGTATGCCATGCTTTATAAATATTAAAATCGAATTTTTAATAAATTTTGATAATTGTAAATGAAATTAATTGGTTAAATTAATGTAGATTTTAATTTAGATTAAAATCTGAATTTTAACCATATCAAACAAAGAGTAGATCTCAAGATAAAAAATTTCATAGCTGGGTTCAAGCCGATGAATTTTTAGATTTGGATTATGATGGTGCACCGATTTTCGAAGAAGAAATTGAAGGGATATTTAATATCTACCATAAATAAAAGATTCAATTTGCCTTTACTGTTCATAAGCCGTTAGTCGAGCCAAACCAAACCAAAAAGCTTTATGGCTCGGCTCGGCTAGGCTAGGCTAATTTTTTTTTTATTAGTTTTGTTTACAGTCGAGCCAAATGGCTTTATGGCTAGGCTCTGCTATTTTTATTTTTTTATTTTTGTTTTTGTTTTTTTAACGTTTGATTCAATATTTTAAGTTACAGATATTCGTTTTAAGCGATTTAAAATTTGATGAAAATGTTAAAGTGCAGCCATGATAAATATATGATCGATAAATTTTAAATATCAAGTTTTGAAGTGCGTCATGATAAATATATGATCGATAAATTTTAAATATGAAAATAATTTTACATTAATTGTAAAACGTAAAGTCGTGAATGCATATTTTACATGTAATATTATTTTATTGAAAATGTTAATTAAAAAAAAAGAAAAAATGTACATATTTTTTGAATAAATAAGAGTGTG